GCGTGTGCTCTTGTTTTCTCCTTTCTGATTAGCCAACATGCCTGGGTTCACATCAAAAGCAAAAGATGCAAATTAATAAAATTCTGCTTGTTCAAACATGTTGCGTATTCTGCATCATTTACACCACAGGACGACAATATGCCTCTGTTTTCAAGTTTGCATTGACTTGTTTTCAATTTATCCTATTTTAAACTTTAGTTCATATATACTATAAATTTGAGAACATAAACAACATCTCTGAATGTAATGCGCTCAATTCTATGCAAAGGGAGACATTGGCTTTTACAGAGTTAGCTTAGCAAAGAAGAGCTGTGAGTTCAATTAGATATCTTGGTGCATCACGGTGCATTGACGATGCTTTCCATACACAGTTTTATATTTTCTTTACAGTGCAGTAATTATTCTATTAAAATGTTTAAATATATTTACATACTAATTGTAATAGAATTTTGTCCTTTAATACAGTCAGATATATAAACTGTACCTTTAAAGAAGAGCATTTATAGCAAATAAACAAATACAACTATCCAGCTCGCTTTCTAAGCCTCATCTACCAAGTTAGCCTCACACCCCTTTGATTGGTCACACACTCAATAGAAAGGGCTGCAATTGGCTCTTGCGCCCTGGCGCTCTTCACAGATGAGTGTATCTCTATCCACCGATTTCCCTGCATTCTACATCTCAAATAACAAGCTCACAAAAGATATGTGAACGTTTTATACACATGCTTATTCCGAATATAAAAAAAAAAAAAAAAACATTTGTCAGCTTTTATTTTAGAGAGCAGACATGACGTTCAGTTGTGTCCTCTTCATTGTCTGTCTGATTCAGGCTCAAACTGATACGGCTAACAATTACAGTACACTGACTGATAATGTATTTACACAATGGCAAAGTGAGTGGGGGTGCTTCCTGGTAATGTGGAGCCGATCCACAAATCAGAGCACATTATGTTAGCTGACCAATCAGAGCCTTTTGAGGCTGGGCTTTTGGAGAAAGTATGAAATATGATAGTCGTTTTTATGTTAACCGAGTTGCTGTATATAATAAAAGTAAGATATATGAAAAAATTTAAAGGTCGTACAGTACGTTTGTGATGCTGTTTGTGAATGTACATTGAAACAATTGATCCGGGAAACACAATCACTGACATTACTGGAACATTGGAACTTGCAGTCTTAGTTGACTAACATTGGTTTTGAGGAAAAACCCCTCAGGGGTCCGTTCTTCGTACGTGGATTACTCAGTTAGCTGGATTTGGATATTGACGATTTGACACGATCCAGGATCGTTTCGTTCTTCAAAGCTGATCTGAGAGTTGTTGTCATAGCAACAGTTCTGCTAGGTCAAACCTGATCGGGAGCAGGTTCAATTCATATAAACAGGATTAGATCGGCTTAGTTCAAGCAAAGATAATACAGAAAGTATGTTCCCAATTCTGATATTTTCTTACAGTAGTAGTTATATACACTTGGGAAAATGGTACACATTTTTAACTATATAAATAATGTTATAGTCATTAATAAATAAAGTTATACATATTAATAAAACTTATGCAATCTGCACCCTCGAAATGAAAGTACAAAGACTGCCACCTGGTGGTGCAAAGAGAAAACTTATTGATATGAACTTTTTAGATCGCTTTAGTACAAATTGTGTACAATAGAAATGCACAATATGTGACTTTTTTTTTTAAAGCAATAATACATTTATGCAGTCATAAACATGTTTTGATAGTTAATATGCCCGTGATTTGATGCTTCACAAAAGTTGCAGACGCCTTTACCAATATCAAAATGCTTTTGTAAACAACCAGTTATTCTTTACACCGATTAAAAAACGGCTACTATAATAAAGAAAATCTTTTCTAAATGTAGAACTAAATACATTGATTTGCATTGAAATACAGCCTGCAGCTCACAAATTATGTGGAAAGTTATTGCGTGTCATATTTAACAAACCGTTTACTGCTAATTTGATGTAATTTTGCTCACATTGATTATTAAATATTAATCAGATGATGTCATTACGCTGCTGTGCCGTCAGCCAATCGTTCCATTGCTGATCATGATTTCGAGGATCGATAAATCTGTCCTTCACAACACACGCAGCGATCTCAGATCAGTTTATCCAGACATTCTAATCTGATTCGCAAACTTGTTTGAAGTACCAAATTAGCGAGAGATCAGTTATCAAGATGTAAAGATCCAGGATCTGCCAAATAATCTTAGATCATTTAAGCGAGGTACGAAGATCGGACCCTAGGACTGACTCTTGAAGTTTGTTTACATCCACCCACCAACTGATTACAATAAATTCACCTTCAGAGAGCAGCTGTGCTTTACAAACTAAATCATTCTCTTATGACGACACTAGAAGACAGCAATAAAACAACAATTAGGGTTTAACAAATTACACACGTTATCAGTAGCTGGGATTAATATCCGTATGTGGAATAATTAAACAGTAAATTAAGTTTGTCTGCCAGCCTTACAGCCACTCAATTTAATAACTGGTAAGTGATAATGATCTGAATCATCATTCTTACACATGTACAATGTCTCGTTTCTCCAACTACTACAGTCACCGGCGTTACTGATGGCTTATGCAAAACTAAACGCATCAGGATATTGTTTCGAGAGCGGGATGTTTTTTTATGTGAGATTATATTAGGCAGTTTACCATTTTAAATGATTGTTGTTGAGATGTAATGCTATGCAAATTTTGTATCATGATTATTCATTCATTCATTAAATTATTTTCTTTTTGGCTTAGTCCCTTATTCATCAGGGGTCGCCACAGCCACTTGCATTCACACTCATACACTACGGCCAACTTAGCTTATTCATTTCACCTACACCGCATGTCTTTGGACTATGGGGAAACCGGAGCACAGGGAGGAAACCCATGCAAACACAGGGGGAACAAGCAAACTCCACACAGAAATGCCAACTTACCCAGCCAGGGCTTGAACCAGCAACCTTCTTGATGTGAGGTAACCGTGTTGCCCCATCATGATGATTATAATGTCCAAAATGATCACGGTTATCAATATTATCATGATTATGTTAAAATGACCTGAAATTGTTCACGTCACACACTTATTTAACAAAGTTTCATATCTGAAATTGAACAAGCAACTACTAAAATTACCAGCTTTTAGCTATTTTGTGACAAATTTATCCTGATCTCACGAGGAAACGTAAGTATTTGACGTTTTATCAGTTTAGTGGCTAATTCATGCAAATTCGTACTAGTTCAGTCGTATAAAAATATACGATTTTAAAAAAGAGGTGTGGCACCCAACCCCACCCCCTAACATTGGGTGATGAGCAAATCGTACTAAATAATATGAATTAGATTGTACAAATTCATACAAAATAGCAACTAAATCAAGAAGTTACAAATTGCTGTGAGATCCGTTGGACAAATTACATAAACATAGAACAGTTTGGATATGTTTACTTATGTTTGTATTATGTCATGTACGTCATTTATAGGTATATAGTATAGGAAGGTCGAGGTATTGTTTGAATTTCACTTCAATATACTTCACAGGGATCCATGTTTACAGAGTTTTTTTTTTATAATCCATAAATTCAAATCGTTGAAGTTTGACCAAAATATCTAATTGTCATTATTCTGACTGATATTGATTTGATTTTGAGTTGTCAAAATTGCCATAATCAGTCAGTTTTAAGTCGTGTGAAGTCGCATTATTGAAGTGCATGCATATGTAAACACCTTAATCAAACTATTGCGGTCATGTAGGGCTTTTTGCCACGTTTTGCGACAGGATTGTCCACACACCCACACACGGCTGTTTGACACTCTTTGCACTTACCGAGTCAGTGCAGACCACAGACACCTGCATTGTGAAATGCTGAGTTTTTTTCTTTCATTCAGCATGCGATATGAAGTTTCATTAAAACAACACTCTTCCAGCAGTTCGTAGTTGCATCCAGTACCTCGTTTGTCACGGGGGGCATGCCCGAATGAAAGTGGAAGTTTCAAACCGCAGTTAAAGTTGACAAATTAATAATGAAACACCCCAAATTATATGAAACTCCGGATGAAATATGGATAGCGCGTTGACGCAATGACATTAATCTAATTATGTGCTATAACATGTAAAATGGGATCATGAAAGAAACATTCAAAAAGCAACTCATAGGGTTAGGTTAGGTTAGGTTAGGTTACTTTATTTATACCCGAAGGTAGATTTGATTTGCAGTCAAGAGTCCTCATCTTACAACAGTGCCACACAAAGCAACTCACACAGTAACAACAACAAATGCGCATTAGGACATAAAACATAAACATAAAGAATAAATAAATAATCACTTTAAGTGTCCACCCCCCTCCCCCAAGTAAATATTTAAAATGATTTAAAATATACAGGTCACTGAAACATCTCTGCTTAAGTCCTATTTAAATGTCTAATGGCTGCTGGTATAAAACTATTTTTGTAACGTTTCGTTTTACAGCTTAATACTAGAAACCTACGACCGGAGGGAAGGAGCTGAAACTCTGAATGTAGGGGATGAGCAGTGTCATTTAAAATTGAATTTGTAATTCTCTTTAGCTGCCTAGTGTACACAGCTTCTAGATTGGCTAGTGACATCCCGGTCAGCTTACTGGACCACTTAACTATTTGATTTAGTGAATTTTTATTCTTGACAGAAAGATTTCCAAACCATGACACCAGAGCAAAGGATAAAACGGATTCAAGAAAGGCGTGATAAAATAGATTCATCATCTGTTTATCAATATGGAAATAATTTTACTTTCTCAAGCAAAATAGTCGCTGGTGCCCCTTTTTACACACAGCTGCACAATTCTCATCAAAGGAAAGTTTAGAGTCAATAATTGTGCCAAGGTATTTATATATATGTAAACACCTCATGTAAACACCTTAATCTTATTATTGTCTTAATTAGATTAAGGCAAATAATTTGATTACTGATGTCCATGTAAATGTAGTCTCTGTTGTCTTTCAGCAACCAATCTCACACTCTCCGCTCCTCCATAACCACCACAGCATCAGTTCAGAATTCGACCTGGTCCAGGATTATGGATACCTTAGGATCATTTCTTCACAGGTCTTGGATGGCATCAATGGGGCTGCATCTCGAACCGACACAAATACAAAAAATACTTTGCTTCTTTAGGACTAAACCAGTTGCCATAGTCAGCTGCGATTTGCATTCTGGGATAAGTTTTTGGACTTCACCACAATTATGGCAGGTCGCAGATTTTTACTTCTGTGTGTTGCACACATGAGTTTCCCACACATTCATTCTGACCAATCAAAAGGCAGTTCAGAAAATTGAACAACTGGCCAACACCTGATGTGGATATTGACACGTGACAACCTTTATGGTTTGTTTCAACTGGTTCGGGTCAAAATGGAACCAAAATGGTGGGAAAATGTTACAATGCATGATTTCTAACCTTTGTCCAGATAAAAAAAACCTACTAAAGGTGTAAAAGGCCACTTTAAAGATACATATTATTACCTAAAGGCTGCACTTCCTCTGTCAGCTGAGAAAATTCAACCTTCCAAAGGAGCTGCTAAAACAGTTCTACACTTCCACCATTAAATCAGTCCTCTGCAATTTAATAACTGTATGGTTTAGCTCATCTACCAAATCTGACCTCCAAAGACTACCTTGGATAGTTCAAATGGCTGAACTGCAGTGAATCACTTGTACAACCCTCCCTACTCTCCAAGAACTGTACTTACCCAGAGTGAGTAGAAGGGCTGCCAAAATTGCTCTGGAGCCCTCACAGCCAGCATACTGCTTCTTTGAACTTTTACCTTCTGGTCGACGCTACAGAGCACTGCGCACCAAAACAGCCCGACACAGAAACAGTACACGCCAAACAGAAACTTTTGTTTCAGCTCCAACCCATCTCTGGGAAACATCCATATAGCTGTACATACACTTGTCAATTTGTAAATTTGCATTCAATGCATTGTATTTTTAAAATATATTTTAATCTGTTTTTTTTTCCTGTCTCTGTAATTCTGCTGCACTGTAGAATCTCTGTCATGAAAAACAAATTCCTTGTACAGTTGAAGTCAGAACTTTTAGCCCCCCTGAATTATTAGCACCCCTTATTTTTATTTTTTCCGAAATTTCTGTTTACCGGAGAGAAGATTTTTCAACACATTTCTAAACATAATAGTTTTAATAACTCATTTCTAATTGATAATTGATTTATTTTATCTTTGCCATGATGATAGTAAATAATATTTCACTAGATATTTTTCAATACACTTCTATACAGCTTAAAGTGACATTTAACGGTTTAACTAGGTTAATTAGGTTAATTAGGCAGGTTAGGGTAATTAGGCAAGTTATTGTATAACGATGGTTCATTCTGTAGACTATTAAGAAAATATATAGCTTAAAGGGACTAACATTTTTGTCCTTAAAATGGTTTTTAAAAATTTTAAAACTGCTATTATCCTAGCCAAAATAAAACAAATAAGACTTTCTTCAGAAGTAAAAATAAAAAAGAACTAGAATTCTTACGGGAGCTAATCATTCTGACATCAAATGTATGTGTGAACTTACCTTCCAATAAAGCTCTTTCTTATTCTAAAGTGTACAATTGTGTACCCTCTGTAAAGGTACCATCCAGTGACAGCTTTTGTACCTCTATTTTTATATTGTATCAACCTGAAAGTCTGAAGCAAGAATAGCAGAAATTAATTCACAATTTACAAGTCCATGGGATATTTTGGAATAATGTAAATACATAACTGTGTAAAATATATCACACTGTGCAAATGGCTTTTGAAAAATATTACATATTGTGCCTTAATCTATTGTTTCTCATGATCTATACTCTTGCTTTGTTTACTTCGCTTGCCATTTTCCCCACATTCCCTTTCTTTTCCTGTCTGTTCATGCTTTTTCTTCCTCGGTTTCTGAATTATTGACTAGACTAAAGTCTCTAGAGATGAAGAAATGTGGATAGATGGAGTCAATAGTGGGTTGTATTGAGCCACTAAAAAGAATGCAGACCTCTCCTCCATGTCAATCAGTTCAGTGAAACCAGCCCGATAACAACATTACCTCTTATATTGCTCAGTTCTTGGTACAGATAGATTGAGCTGAAGTTGTTGATAATCATATTTTTTTCATAGTTGTTTTTAGGCATGCGTTTGTACATGCTGTAGTCAATAGAATTGCATCACAAAGAGAGAAATAACGACGATGGGGGCTATAGCTGGTAAATGAGATTATCTCAAATGCCTAATTGGCACATATTCTTGCCACATATTCTTGTTTGATAACAAATCAGTACAGTATATCATATCTATCAAATTCAAAATTTCAAGATGGACATCGAAGTTAAAATTAGAGCTTTAACACGGTTTATATGTTGAGCTTCTCTGTCATGCATGTATTGTGTATCTACAAGGTGAGTGAAAAGTAACCAGCATAGGCTCATTCTGAAAACGTACCCCTATATACATTTCTGGAAATCGCCAATTATGTTGCCAGAGAAATGTATGGCTGTATTTTGTTTTTAAAATGAACGAGGTCAGGTCAATTAGTGCTTTTGAAAACACTATTGGTTGGGTTTAGGTAAGGAGAAAGGTGGGTCAGTCGATCGTCCAGTCAGTCAGTCAGTTGAAAGCGGCCTCTGGTGGATATACACGGGAACAGCAGGCACTCTTGAGAGAAATTTGAGATCTTAAAAAGTGTACAAAGGAGCCACTGGTAGATTGGCAAAAACAAAAACTGCAAAGAAAATGTAGCTCCTGGGACATATTTGGCGCTCAGAGTGAGCCTTGGTTACTAACAGTAATTAGCTATAAAACCTGTTGTATCACTGGAGTCATGGTTTCATATTAGCCTTAAATCGACATTAGTAAATAGAATTTCATATTTCCTGCATAAATATTACTGGTATCGGCTATGAAAGGCAGTATTAAAAATCATACTCAAGTAAAAGTACCATTACTTGCCTAAAACTGTAGTGCAGGTAGACTAAAAAGTATTGGTTGTAAATATTACTTGAAGTATGAGTAAAAAGTACACCTTTCAAAAGTACTCATGAGTAGTGAGTACTATGCTGTCAAAAGCTGATGCGTTTAAATGTACTTTGTGCATGTGTGTAAACGTAACATTCTGTAGTGCATCTAGTTGTTGACCAGCAGGCACAAATGTCATAAGACGTTAATATTAGGTAAGATTTAGGTTATGACGTCAGGTGACAAAATTCAACATCCGATTAGCATCTAAGGACAACGATATTTTGATGTCCAATAATGACGTCAAATGACATTGACATTTGATTGATTTTAGGTTGTTAGAATTTGACTAAAATTCTACGTCGACCCAACATCTAAAACCAATATCATTTTGACGTCAAATACTGACATTTATTCATCAGGTATGACAACCAAAATTCAATGTCTGATAAATGTCAATAGTGGTAACATCATTAGACTTTAATATTTGGTTGGTTTTAGGTTAGGCGTTGGACATTGACGTTGGCCTGATGTTAATTTCAGACGTTAATCTGATTTTAATTTTTAAACAAAATGCAACGTCCCCATGACGTTAGGGTACAACATCAATCTGACGTCATGTGGACGTAGTGTGCCTGCTAGGTGTTTAAGGCCATTTCGGTCATCATACAGTATACATCCGTCATCTTGCCATCAGTGACATGCATCTAAACAGTCTCTGGGTCATTGCATGTAAACATTTAGATTTTGAACATCTTCTTGGAAACTTTAAAAACTTCCAAACAGTTTACTGCAATTATAAATCACTTATGTCTTGAGGTAGTTTATTATGATGCAGTTTACCTTCTATGTGCAATTTGATTAGACTAGCAGGACTGAACTTTCTAATCCCCATAGACAAGAAGAAAAAAGGTTGTGACTGCAGGTTGAAGGAAAGTAGTTGAGTAAAAGTACCAATACTGCATTAAAAATGTACTCAAGGGAAAGTAAAAGTACACATTTTAAACTACTTATTAAATTACAATTCCTGAGAAAAAAACACTCAATTACAGTAATTTGAGTATTTGTAATTAGTTACTTTACACCACTGGAAATCAAGGACTAGAGAACGCAAAGTAAAAAAAAGAAAGTGGTGATTTCCAAATTGACTTTGACTTGTATTTCATTGCAGACAATATAAACAAAAAATATTTCATGTTTTGTCTTGTCTACTGCATTTCATTTGTAAATATTTACGTTTTTACGCAGCGGATGCCCTTCCAGCCACAACCCATCTCTGGGAAACATCCACACACACACTCATATAATACGGACGATTTAGCCTACCCAATTCACTTGCATCGCATGACTTTGGATTGTGGGGGAAACCTACTGCGTCGCCCTAGTAAATCATTAGTTTAGCTTAAAAGTATATACAATGGTTTGTTAGAAAAATAATTATACGTTAAAATAATATGTGACCCAAAAGATTAGGTGTAAGTGAACAAACTTTGCATGCATTAAGTTGCTGTTTCTTTTTTTTTTTTTCAGCTCATCTTGGACCTAAAATGCTATAAATAATGTAATACCATTAGTAGGTATGTAACTACCTTTAAATATTCATCCTTTTCCCATCTCTCAAACACTTTTGCAAATGAATTTGGTTGAAATACACAAATATATATATTCCTATTGACTTTTATAAACGTTTAAGGAACATTTATACATATAAAACAATCTCAATAACAGTTTGACTTTTCAGAGTATTATTTATGTTGTTTATACTAAACATATTTGTAAACATAAACATATTACCTAATATGCAGTTAGTCATTTGTTCAAGTTTAGTTTGAATACCCCTCAAATATAAGCTGTGTGAAATACTGACCACTTAAAATAATTGGAATATTCTCCATCAATTTATATCGGCAGAATTTATTTTAAATTTAAGCTAAGCATTAATAAAAGTATACCAATAGTATTATTAAATAAGTAATAAGTGACAATGGACCGCTGAATTATTAAAGTGATTTATTCACCCAGTGTGTCCAAAATGTATTAATTTTTCAATAATTCATCGCTTCAGAATCAATCATTCACTGTATGTCACGTCTGTATAAAGTGTTCATTTTGTTGCGTTTGTTTTTCATGATGAATGTGATCACAAGTAACAGTGAAATAACAGTCCTGGTTTATTACTGAATACATAATAGGCTTCTTTTATAATGCTGCTCTGTGCAGCCTCATTACAAACACAACATATTAATGAGTCTTTGGTGTTTTCCTGTTTTCTATAAAAGGTAACCAAAGATCGAGGGTTTATGGTGACATCATCAAAGCCACAAGATACGCGTCACTAGTTAAAATAATGTATTTCTTTAGGTTTGAATGTTCTTCAAATATTTTGAGATAATGTGAATACACACATCATCAAAATATATAACAGCGTTCCATGTTTTTGTATATTTTGTATATGAAAAAATGTTTAGCTAAAATAATTCTTGGATGTGTACAGTATGTGTGGTAAACTTACCTCAAATTTTCATTTGGTTGACAACGGGACTTTTAAGCTGCAAAACGTTTTTATTTTTATTAAATGCTTAATCATGACAAACTAAATATTGATTGGGTCTTTTCAGTCTATTCTGATAGAATTCTGAATACATAATTTAACACAGCTTTTTGTTTTTGTTACATAGGAAAAGAGAGTTCCTTTTCTGGAGGACAGACAAATGGTCCAAATGTTCTTACAACAATTGCTACTCTGCTAATGGGAGCCATGGAGATAGGAGATGAACAGGCTGAAGTGATCGTAAACTTTATACAAACAAAAGCCATCTTGTGACACTGAGAACATAGTCAAAGTTGGATGTCAGGATGTTGTTATTCCTTCGGGTCAACTGGCACATGTAAAATTTCAAATACCCGTGGATTTTGACTTGTTAGAGCCTACCATCTTGTTTGAGTCTAATGTAG